TCTACTATGTCCCCATCCTTCAAGTTAAGCTTAGGGTTCTGAAAGTAGCCAATCCCTGGCGGTGAGCCTGTCATAATCACCGTGCCTGCTGGCAGAGTTGTCCCTGGGGTGCGGGTCAGTTCATGAGACGGGAAGAGCAATTTCTTGCACTGTAACTCACCTTGGGAAAGGAAGCTGACCAGGGTCTCGGGGCTGTGTATCAAGTCACAGAGGCTATTCTGGAACACAGTGTCGTTCACCTTTGTGGTGATCTTCTTGTCCCCCACGCCGCCGAACGTCTTGGCGTTTGTGAGGATCGGTCCCAGAGGCGCAAACCCATCGTAGGCTTTGCATCGCGTGAATTGACCGCCGCCACGCTTTGGGTCTTGGTAAGATCGTGCAGTCAAGTCATTGCCAATGGTGTACCCGAGGATGTAGTCTGAGGCTTCTTCAACCTTGACGTCTCGCGCATCACGCGACAGCACGATACAGAGCTCTCCCTGTGGCAACAAGCATCAGCTTAATTAGACGGCTTCCTCGCGGCGGTGGAATGAGATAATCCGTACCTCGTAGTCGAGAAAGCCGTTGGCCGCGATGGGGGGGATTGGCACTTCCCCCGGTCCGGCCAAAGCCCTTCTCGGTTTGTACCACATAACGGGATCTAAGGGAACAGGGAGCTGTATGTGAGGGGTCAGTAGATTAGTCAACCGCTAAGAGTCGGGCGACGATAACATCGGCTCAGGTAGGTCGGCCTCACATTCGCTTCCTTTGCATGTTCCCTGTAGTTTGTTCCAATGCAGATGATGTCTCCTTCAAACGGTAGTGGGGAGAGAATCTGTGTCACGAAGTCAGTCTTCTTCATGCACCCGATAATACGCTTCGCGTGGATTGCTGTCGGGTTTCCTTGGAGTGTACCTTGACGACCTTGACAAACCTACCGTTTTGCTCAACCAGATCTGCAAAAGAAGCATACCCCGTCACGGTTGAGCTAACTATTTCGGAGGTTGTGTGGGGGGCTGGCAGAGAAGCGAGGTAGGTCTGACCCTCGTCATCTAGGAACCGTATCAAATGCTTCCAAGTAGACATTTTCTTAATGTGGAATATTTGCGCCGCAAGGAAACCCAAACGATTATTGGGCTTTAATCGGGTGTCCAGTCACCTTGGCATCTATTATAGCTCTTGAACGGGAATCAAAGCATGTCTGGATCATTGCCAGAGATATAGATCTGCATGATAGCCCTAGTCTTTCTATCAATCCACCCGGAGCAACTTCAGATCGTTTGTAAGAAAATAATAATCCTGGACCCGTCTCCTCCATAGTGTTGCATCTGATGTGGAGAGAAGAGGGGACGGACCGGAGGGACTTGGTCGACCCCACCATACGTTCCTCCGGATCTTCACGACTAGCCCACAAAACCTGTTGGTGCCGGAGGAACCTGGATTCTGGTGTTTTGGG